AGAGTCCAAATAAGTGTAGAGAGTAGATGGCGGATGGTGGATGGAAACTATGATTCGACACTCGTGGGGCGGTGTTACAGCGGTTTGCAATTTCCATTTATTTATGCAGCTTGTAAATACGTTATACCGGTTCGTTGTTATCGAGGCTGTCAGTGCGTACATGCGGATGGGTGAATACGAAAAGTGGTTTTCAGTAACAACACACTTCTATAACCGATCTATTCTGCTGCTGTGTGTAAACTTGTATTTAATATACATCACACACTAGAGTACACAATTATTTCAGCACAGCAATAATAATTTTGGACTGTTTGTGTATTGTACAGAGAGAATAGAAAATAGAATAGAAATAGAATGAAAATAAAGAAGAATCTCGGGATCATCTAGTGGCCGTGATCCGTGACATGAACAACCGTTTATTTCCGTTTATTCTAAATCCCATCAGAGAGATTTATGCTTTTTATTCCTCGCGCAACTTAACCCGCTCATTCAGCTTCTCAGCTTCAGATATTATATAATACTTATTACCTTTACTTCTTCTAGTCGCTCGGTGTGTGTCACCCTACGGGCTTTCCAAAGCTGAAATATTCCGGTAGACAGCGCATCCGAACAGCTTACCGGATCATCCGATAATCCCATTACCCGGGGTCATAATAGTGCCCGGCGTGCGGGAGGTTTTCTAGAAGAGGGTTCCTTGGAGTTCCTGTTAACGCAGAGAAATACTCAATAACAGTTGTCTTAAGACCAATGATAACTGATGACCTGACTTAACTAATTATAGAGATGTATATATTCAAGTTTTTCCCAAAAAACAGGTTCATTTGAAAGCGAAATGACCACAACTAACTTTTTGGTCATAGTCCATTTTGGGCTGTAAGACATTCGGACAGTTGGATCTAGCTAGATGATAAATTATTGAGAAATCATATTGTATCTTATCAACTAATGATATTTTTACAGATATAAGGTCATCTTGTTATACTCATCGAGACCTTTCATTTGAGTACCCACATCTATTTTTCATATATTGATATATATTATATATATGTAAATATGAAAAATATATAAAAATACATGTGGGTACTCAAATGAAAGCTCTAAATACGTGTAATATCAGGATGGGCTTATATTTTCAAAAATGTCCATAATTAAGAACTGACATTGCTATCTTGTCAACTAATGATATTTTTGAAAAAATAAGCTCACCCCGACATTACACTCATCAGGACCTTTCATTGGAGTACCTACATCAATTTTTCATATATTTTATATATTTACGTATATTATATATATGTATATATGAAAAATATATCAAAATGCATGTGGGTACTCAATTGAAAGCTCTTGATGAGTGTAACATCGGGATGAGCTTATATTTTTAAAATTGTTAATAATTAAGAACTGACCTTGTATCTTGTAACATACTGACATTTTTAAAGATATGAGCTCACCTTTACATTACATTCATCGAGACCTTTCATTTGAGTACCCACATGCATTTTTGATATATTTTTCATATATACATATATATAATATATATAAATATATAAAAAATTGATGTGGGTACTCAAATAAAAGGTCTCGATGAGTGCAACATCGAGATGAGCTTATATTTGTAAAAATATCATTAGTATTTTTTTATATATCCTGTACTTTTATGAATTTTTATTTTAAGCTTTTTGAAAATCATTTGCTATTTTTTAGTTTAGTTTTTTATTAAAGTATATTCTAGTTTTTAAATTACAATTTATTGAAAATAAAATTTTTAGCTACCAAGAAATAATTCTCAACAGCTTTTAAAAAATAAAAATTAATTCCTTTGAATAAATTAAAAAATTCATCGGTTTAAATAAAATTCTGATAGATTGTATTAGATTGACGCAAAAAACTGTTGAATATTTAACACAAAAATTTCTTACTGAATAAAATAAGAAGCTATATCGATATAGAATATGATATTGAAAGCATCATTGATATTATTATTAAACTAATGTTCAATAAGTTATGCCAATATCAAGTGATGTGATAAGTGATAGTTAAGTGAGAGCTTTACGTTAGAAGCTTCAAAATTAATTCGTGCAAAGAACACTTATGCTGTAGAGCGAGCTCTTTCGGTATACACGAGTGCCGTAAAAAGGTAATAAACGAGATTTAATTGTGATCAAGAAGCTCTTTACCAGCATTATACCTCCACACATTTACACTCCTGTTTTTAATTACTTAATGAATATTCAAGATACCTTTTAATAATTAAATACACCTATCAATCATTATATTATTGACATTTATTATTAGAGTTCATTTTTAATAGTATTTAATAAATAATTAAAATTATTTAAACAAAAAATTTTTTGATCGATTCAAAATTATCTAATGTTTTATTCTAAAATTAAATAGTGAGACGGTAGTTAATTAAAAAATAAATTTCTTTGCTGTATATTAAGTTAATTTCTTCATTATTAACATTTTGAAATTTTAAAAAATATAAATTAATTTTTTACAAACTGCAAATATAATATTTTATTTTTTTGAATAGTAAAAACTCAATTTACAACAGTACAAAATTTTTTTTTCACTCCTTTTTAAGTTTTGAATTTATTAATTTCAAAATAAAGTAAAAAAATGTATAGTATAGTCTTCGTATGTACATTGCTAAAACTCTAGTAAAATTTTGTTTTTCACAAAAATACAAAGACTTAGATCATGCGCTCAAATATGAGTTTTTTTTTGTATAAATAAACAATTTTGAAGGACTAAGATGATTTACGAAGAAATTATTTTCAATAGACTAAAAAAAGCTTGTAATTTTATTTATATTTTTTTAACAAAAAAATTCCCGATTTAATTATTAAAAAATTTTGCAGATATTTAACAACTTAAGATTTGAAGCAATGTTTATATTATAAATAATTTAAATAATATTATTTTGTAATAAAAAAAATTCTTCACAAAAAATGTAATTTTTTATTTCATAAAAATTTTCAACTTCTTGTTAAGAAAATCGAATATAATTTGGACCGGAAGATTTTGAGAAATCTCTAAAAAACTACGAAAAAAAATTTTTTTTAATGTAGTTTTTTTGGAATAACTTTTAAACGACTTTGCCGATTAATTCCAAAAATTAATCAGCTCTTAACATCAAAAAACCACGTCGATCGCTGCCAGTCCGGTCAAAATCGGTTAATTTGTTCGTGAGTTATCATTAAAAAATTATTGTGGTTTGAAAATTTAAGAAATAGTGTTTTATTAAACTTCTACCAGATTTTTGAGCTCGGAGAGCTCAAAATGACACGAAAAAATTTTTGATGTAAAGATTAAATATGACGCGACAATGTAAAATTTTTTTTCGAAGCCAGTGTACAATTTTATGATCTAGTATAGCGTATGAATGGCGGAGAAATAAATCAAATAGACTATCACAGCGAAATTGTTCTTAGTCTCAGGAGGGGATTCATACTGTGTGTATATATAGACTGTATGCTACTATACTGAATGGTGAACATCTCGGAAAACCTTAGAGACCGATTGTAATAATCCCAGTCCTAGAACAATCACGCGAACAAGCAGCGAGGACAAGAGGAAGTAGGAGAGAAATCGATGAAAACTGTATAGAATAATACTAGCGTGGATATCAGCGATATTGGATATTTAGATACTCGGTATAAGTTTAATTCTGTTGAAACAATCCCCTTGACCGAATAGAAACGCGTACAAGCATTATCGTGGACCAACTCGTCGCTTCGGAAACTGTTTGTTCGTTCGCTTTCCGAGTAGGTACATGTTAAGTGGCAGATGGCAGAAAAGCATCCTATTGCCTCGAGAAACACGAGCGAGTATCAAAAAGTCTGGAAAAAGTTTATCTCTTTTTTACATCTCGGAAAAGTACGAAACGAAGACTCGAGAAACAAAAAAGCAAACGGAAAAACAAAATTATTTTCACGCCGAACCGGAAAAAACTTTTATCCAATAATCTTGCGCAGCATCTGGTAACAAACGACGACAACGATAGTGTCACTCTCGAAAACTCGTACTTTATTTTTTGAATACTATTTCGACATTCTGATTTACTAAAAAAAAATTTGATTTTTTTTCTTTGCTGAAAACTCAAAAATTTTTAGCTATAATTAAGAAAATATATATTAGTAACAATAATAATTAGATTTTAGATTAGTTGAATATTGTAATTAAAATAATAATAGGTAATGACAAGTAGGTAATGATCGTATCTCGTGAACTATAGACATTTTTTAAGATATAAGCTCATCCCGATGTTACACTCGTCGAGACCTTTTATTTGACTACCCACATCAATTTTTATATATTTATTTATATATTTATATATATTATATACATCTATATATGAAAAATATATCAAAAATTCATGTGGGTACTCAAATGAAAGTTCTTGATGAGTGTAATATCGAGATGAGCTTATTTCTTTAAAAATGTCAGTAATAAAGAAATGACCTTGTATCTTGTGAACTGTTGACATTTTTAAAGATATAAGCTCATCTTGATGTTACACTCATTAAAACCTTTCATTTGAATACCAACATCAATTTTTCATATATTTTATATATTTATATATCTTATATATATGTATATATGAAAAATATATCAAAAATGCATGTGGGTACTCAAATGAAAGCTCTTAATGAGTCTTGCATCAAGATGAGCTTATATCTTTAAAAATATCAATAGTTAAAAAAGTACAGTGCAATTTAACAAAAGTCATTATATAATAAAGCAAAATTTTATTTATTTATCTATATTCACAAATATAGATATACAAATATATAGAGTGAGCATATACTGGTACATCAGCAGCTATTGGGGCTTTTATCTTAGGAATTTTTTAAAAATTCTTTGATGATATTTTTAAAAATATAAATTTTAAAACTAGAAATTTAAATATTTATTAAGTTAAAGTGCATAAAAGGTGAAAGCTACAATATATTGCATTGTTTTTTATCCAAAATTTCTTGAGATTCAATTGGGTGTCACAATTCTTTCTTTTGGTCTAATTCAGGAGTTTGGTCTTCTTTGTCTTTAATTTGCAGTGGTCCTTCAACATTTTCCAATTTTTCTAAATGTTTTTTCTTGAGAATCGTGGCTCCAGTAAATCCTGAAAAATAAATATTAAATATAACAGTAAGAAATAATTACTCATTTAAATTAATTATTTATTTTAAAATTAAATTTTTTTATGTAACCTGTAAACTATAATTCTCATTAAATATCACGAATTTTATTTTCACTAAAACAAAAAATGCTTTTAAGCGTATTTTATTTCATAATTTCAATGTTGATGCTCATTAGCGAATATAGTAAAACATTTCGTTATATTCTTTGACTTCATTATTCGTTCGTTTTTATCCCCCGGATTTTTGCCACAGTACTAATGCGTCTAAATATTAATTACTGTAATCCTATACATTGTTGCAAGCTCAATTTTTTATCCTCAAATTTTTTTAATCAAAGGATTGAATCATATCCGAATTAATTAACAAAAATGTACATTAAAAAAAACTTTGCTTCAATCAACAAAATTAAAAATAATAATAAAATAAATAAAAAGTTTCTATATTGAAAAAATTACCTAAAATTCCACAACCTAAAGCAGTTAAACCTCCAAGCTTCACACCAGCAATTAGACCAACAGGCCCGCCAATGCAGGTACCGATTAGCGCACCAGCCAATGGATAGGCCGCTACTTTTAATTTTGACGCTTTTTCTAAAAATTTATTTCCTCTTACAACATTCTCGTGAGATTCGACTACGTTGTCTTCTACTTCATTAACATGATGCTTTTGGTCCTTTAAAATAGAAATAGACTCATCTTCTTCTTCTTATTTATTAATAAACTTCAGTAAATACTCACATAAATCAATTGATTCATGTGAACAAACAGTTGATGAAGCTGCTGCAAATCATTTTGCAGAGAGTTCCAAGCATGGAGACAGGCGTTCTGTCTTTCGATTTCGTCTTGCTCTGTTTGGAGTTGAAGAAATCGTTCGTCCAAAGGCTGCGATTGCTCATTTTCAGAGTCGGGTGATCCAGGTGAGCTTATCGTCGAAGTCGGGTACTCTAATTTCATTTCTAGGATAATAAGAATCATTTTTAGGCTGTATTCGAAAATACTCTCTCTAGTGAATAATTAAGAAATGACCTTGTATCTTAAGAAATATTGACATTTTTTAAGATATAAGCTCATCCCGATACTACATTCATTGAGACCTTTCATTTGAATACCCACATTAATTTTTCATATATTTTGTATATTTATGTATATTATATATATGTATATATGAAAAATATATCAAAAATGCATATGGGTACTCAAATGAAAGCTCTTGATGAGTGTAACATCAGGATAAACTTATATTTTAAAAAATAAGGGTAATTACCTCATATCTTGTGAACTATTGACATTTTCAAAGATATAAAATCATCCCAATGTTACACTCATCAAGAGCTTTCATTTGAGTACCCACATGCATTTTGATATATTTTTCATATATACATATATATAATATATATAATTGTACTGTACTTTCTTAACTCTTGATGTTTTTCAAGGTATAAGCTCATCCCGATGTTACACTTATCAAGAGCTTTCATTTGAGTACCCACATGCATTTTGATATATTTTTCATATATACATATATATAATATATATAAATATATGAAAAATTGATGTGGGTACTCAAATGAAAGCTCATGATGAATGTAACATCAGGATGAGCTTACATCTTTAAAAATGTCAATAATTAAGAACTTTGCTATCTTGTCAACTAATGATATTTTTAAAGATATAAGCTCTTTCCGACATTATAGTCATCGATACCTTTTATTTGATCACCCACATCAATTTTTCATATATTTTATATATATATATATATATATATATATGTAAAATATATCAAAAACGCATCTGGGTATTCAAATGAAAGGTCTTGTTGAAGGTAACATCAGGATGAGCTTATATCTTTAAAAATGTTAATAATTAAAAAATTGTAGGTAAAAAAAGCATACCTAAATATTCTTGAATAGCGTTTATAGTAGAATATCGTGAATTGTGGGTGAGCTTATCAAATTTATCAATATCGTTGTCTTCAACTTGTCCGCGAAGCGTGTCCATTTCATATAACAACTGTTCTAATTGTTTGACTAGCCTTAGTGCATTTGTTTGTTCTTTATGAACTTTTGCCCAGTCTTTGTCTCTTTGATACTGAAATTAAAAAAATTAAAAATTTATTTTTCTATTTTTAACAATAAAAATAATCAAAATATTTCTTACATTTTTAATGTTATTTTTATGTCTTCGCAATAAGTCCAAGTGATGTGGTATTGCTACGTCGAATTTACTTATAGGAATTTCCAATCTTCTGATAGGTTGTTTAATTGTACTTGATTCAGACATTTTTTTTGCAGTAGAAATATTCATTAATTAAAAAATTATTCACTAGCTTATTATAAGTACTTCCTTATTTTATAATATAGTTTAATATTATACAACTATTCCAAAAATATAAAAACTGTCACAGATCAGCTGATGTTTACATACATTCTCTGATTCTGAGACAGAAAAAATAAATAAATGACAGACAAAGACTTTTTGATGTCAATAAAGTAACACGCATAGTTACCAATTGAAGGAAATTTTAAATTTTACGAAAACTTTATTACCTTGCGTAGGTAAAGTAGCTATCAGACAATATCCAACAGTTGCTAAGTATAAATTCTGAACAAATTTTGATAACTTTGCGCTCTATATTACCATCGGTGTTGCTACTGACGCCCTCTGTTACTAAAAATTTCAACTCGCCACCTAATTGCGCGGCAACGACTACTATATTATTATTATTATTATCTTTATTCTATACGTACTACTTACGCTGTAAAGTACGTGCCATAGTTCGTATATTATAAATTAAATATCGCGTTAATTTAACAAATCCTAGTAATTGACAAGTCAATCTTGATTAACCAGAACATTCTTTGATTCCCGAGGAAGAAGAAGTCAGTTACAAATTCAATTGTAATTTAGGTAATATTCAAGGCCCCTTTTTTATAATTCGGTAATTTCAGTGGTCATCTTTAAGCTGCTGCTCGATACCGCATAAAGACATCATGGCGGTGTATCATTTTTAGTCAAATTAAAAGAATTATGATACTTGGCAGTTTTTGGACGAACTAAAACGACAAAACGCACTACAGCAACAACAAGTACAACAACAATTACAACGTCAACAGCAAAAACTACAGCAGCAAGACCAACGAATACAATAGCTCGAACAACAACTACAAGATCAAGGACAACAACTACAGCAACTACAACAACTACATCGACGATCATTACAACGAAGATCGGTACAACGTCAATCACAGACACAACATGAACCACCACAAGATACATCATCACAAGATTCATCACCACAAGTTACACCACCACAACGACGACGACGACGACGACGACGATGACGACGACAATCACAACGAGACCAACTATCACCACAACAACAAACACCATGACTATCACCACGTCAACGACGACAACGATCACCACCACAACGACGACAACCATCACCACAACGACGACAACCACCACCAGGAGTATCTAAACATCAGGGCTACGTTGGAAAAGATAGAACGTTCGAGCAGGCGCTCATGGTAGACAACATCCATGAGCGTCCATGGCTTTGGACGTCGGTGTACCGGGCCTATCTAGTCGACAACGAAAACGCTTTGAAGGAAATACCTTGGGATGAGCGACTAGATAGGGTCCGGAAAACACTTACTTTCGACTGTTCGGTACCAGGTTGTGGGGCAAAAAAATTAAAACGTGACAAGGCACAGCTCCACATTTGGCAGTCACACTTGGGTCATTCATGCAAGTGCGCCAAATGTGGACACTTGGGTAAAATAAACACCAGATACTCTAAAGGCACGTTGTCGGAACATCTTAGAGACAACCCAGATCACGACATCCACTTTTGGGAATAAGATGACGTCATCTGTTGGACAGTTCATTGTCTTGGCTGGGTTAACCAAAATGGTTGCCGCTCTCGAGTTTATTGCCACCAATAATTTCATCATCATGAACTCAATAGACCACAATCTAACTCCAGATGTTGTGGGTGACCCTATAGTATACTGAATGGTATGTTGTCACAGCTGGTCACAAACCTTAAGCTCATATCGCAATCGTCGTTGTCGGAAAATCACTCAATAAACTACTAAGCCGCTACTTGATCGATTACACGCAAAACTATCCAGTTGTTAACGATAACAGAGTTCAGATGTTAGATATCATTATTTCGCAACGATTTGGCAGAATAACACAGATCTGAAATCGAATAGAGGTCTAGAAGTTAATAGGTTGATTAGCAAGGTCACAGCCAATCCAATCATGACCTTGAATCGCTTCAATATCACTTATCACTATCCATATCATCAAAACAATATCAGTCGTTACTGTAGCTACATCACAGAATCTACAAAATTAGTTATGATTACCAATAAATCATTTGCTTCCGTGATCTTCTTTGGAACCTTCATCGTTGGAGTACCATTCCCGCCACTCAACAATATTTGGGAGGTAGATTACAAAGTTCCAACCCTAAACGCCGTTAAAGATGTAATTGAGGTCGTTTGCAACTCAACAACCTCCGTGTAAGTGATCATTACCTAGCTAATAACTAAGTCTCACGTTGACTGATTTCCAGTTGCTCAGAAGCCATCAACTCTTCATCAATTCTTACCGAAAACTCGACGGTCCACTTGATCAACAATACTTCCAACCCTAAAGGTGAGATGTAGCTTATCTGTTGATGATCCAGGGTCCAACTGACCAAATATTCCAGGACTAGGTGACCAGTGTTCATTGAACAAAGACTGCCGTGATGTTATTTACTCCAAGTGCTTCAACGGAACCTGCTCTTGCCAGACCAACTACATTCCTGTTGACGGAAGATGCAAAGGCTTGATAGAAGAACCTTGTGAGGAAGATTCCGACTGTGGAGTTGATGGTTCCACGTGCAGAGCTCAAATTTGCAGGTGCCAGACCGGTCTCCAATCATCAGCAAACCACAGCCTTTGCCTTCCATTGGCTCAAGGTTCGTAATTTGCTCCCTTGCTCTCTCAAATGTGATCCGCTGATGATGATTTGGTTGCAGGCTTGCACAAGCACTGCTCCAATGACCAAGGCTGCAAGACAGCGTTTTCCAACTGCGCCAATGGAACCTGCTCCTGCAGGGACAATTATGCTACGCATGATGGAGTCTGCTATGGTCTACCTGGCGCCCAGTGTCATCTGTCCAAGGATTGTGTCTCTGTGCCCTACTCCTGCAAGTCAGGAACTTGTCAATTATCAATCTACGAGTTGAATGGCAAACATATTCTATCAAAATCAGAAGGTAGGTCGCTCCTACTTTTTACAATTTGCAATTATCAGTTGATACTTTATTGGTATGTCTCTGGTAGTTCCTTCATTTATCGAGGTATGGAATCCAATTAAAGAGAAAATCCGTGATGGTGTGCAAATAGAAGTGTCTCCAAATGGTTTACCGTTGTATCTAACTCGTACTAATCTCTCCGACGTCTTCTGGGTAAATAGACATTTTTATTGTCTTAGTTTATGTGTTCTTGAACCGATAGGTAACGAGTTGATTGATTTTTAGATAATTAAGGGTCCTTCAAAGTGGAGAAAGTCGGGTTACACTCTTGACGAGGCTATTCCTAGAATCGACCTGGTAGTTGGTAATTTGAATCTTTATTGTCGTATTAAACTTGACCAAGACCGACAATATGGACGGCTTGAGCCTCCTTATTATGATAAGTGCATTGTTAATGTTGGTAATGATGTATCTGTGTATGATAGTTTTGAAGCTCTAGTTGGAAAGTAATAATTTTGATAAAAATTCTAATTTTTTTTTCCAAGTCCAAAAAAATTTTTAGTGAGAAAAAAAATTTTTTTTTTGCTTTTTTGCACATTACATGAAAAAATACGTCGGTTTTCAAAAAAAAAAAATTTTTATGGCATCTGTAACAAAATATTTTGTATCTTCAGTTAAAATTGTTGAGTTTTGCGCTTTCTTTCTAAAGTAAAAAAAGCGATTTCGTGAGTCTAAACTTGAAATAAAAATTCTTCTCATTTAGAGGATGAGTAATTGGCTGGTTCTAATCTTGAATTAAAATTTAACTAATTTTTTTGACTAGCGTATAAATTCAAAATTGAATTAAATTTTTACTTACTTTATATTTATGTTAATATTCTTCTTAACTTACAATGTAAACGTGGTGTAATTTTTTCAGTTGTTTGTTGACATTAAAAAAAAAAAATATTGTTAGTAAGCAAAACAAAATATATTTATTTTAATCAATAATAAATTTTTAAATATATTTTTTGTTATTGATTTAGAAAACAAAATTAAAAATAAATAAACAAATTTACATAATAATTTTTGCAGGTGAAAAAAATAATGATAATAATAACTTGAAATGATAATTTAAATATTTTTATTGAGTGATTGAGTGTAACACGCTACTTTATATGTTATATATTATATTAAGTTAAGATTTTTTGTATAAATTTTGGATGGCCGCAAGGAGTTTTGACTTCATGGCTAATTAAATAAATAATAATATGTTTTAATACATAAATACATTTATTTTAATTTTCCATTACATTAGTACATATTTAATATGTATTTTACAATTGGAGAAATTAATTAATAATAAATTTTAAACTTCATTATTGTATATAACTTAATAAATGATTTAAGTACCTACAAAAATTAATAATTGGGTCAAACTTGAAAAATAAAATAAAGTACAATAAAATGAGTAAGTACAATGAAAAAAAAAAAAGTTGCTCGTGTTATGAATTAAATATTTATTCGTTATCGAATATTATTTTACTTATTCCAAAAAGCAAACGCTTTTCGAATTCTTTCATTCTGAGGTCGTGCGTTTGCTGCGGGAAGAACAATTCGGCTGCCTGGACTCAACTGCTGTTTAACCGATGAAGAAACTTGTTCTTGTTCAAACATCTTCGCCGTTCGGCTTACACTTCCAGTACGGACTACTCTATGCAGTGGACTGTGGCCTCTTACCCGTGAGATTTCGTCTTCGGTGTCTAATTTTTGATAAATAAAAATTTTAATAAATTAATAAAGCGTAAAAAATTAATCAACAAAATTAATTTATAAAATTAGTAATAAATTGATACTGAAATTCAGATACAGATAATTTTTTAAAATTTTTTAACAAAATTATTATAAAAAAAATTTCATACTTAGAAGCTTTAAAAAAAATATATAAAATTTTTTTTTCTAAATAATTTTCTAGTATTTATTTATTTTTTAAGAAAAATCAAAAAATTTTCAAATGTTTGCTTATTTCAGTATCATATAAAAAAAAAAAATATTTTAATTAACAAACCTAAACTTGAAGAATTAGTTTTACACCAAGGCTTACACACACTTCCATGCGAATTAGTATTACTTTCTATTGGAATAAAATTAGGGCGCGTAGCTGGAATTTTATCATCATTATTATTATTATTATTATTATTAACAATCGATGATTTATTATTTAAATTTTGTTGATCTATTAAATTAACAAATTTGTTATCATCTTTATCTTGAAGACTAATGCGACTGATTGTTATTTCTTCTTTGACCTCAAAGGAAGGCTCATTAATATGCAAACTTGTAATACTGCAATAATTTTCAGAAAATTCTTCATGAATTTCCGTGGTAGTCTTCAGACTTTCCGTACTAATATCAACCGTATAAATATTTTCTTCGCTTGAATTTAATTCTGAAATAAATGTGTCCGTCTTATTGCTGGGGTCGTCAGAAATAATCTTAATTTTTTTAAAATCGCTGGATAATAAATCGTCATCGATCTTATCTTCGATTTTCGTAAAATCATCTGGACTAATAGATCTCTGTGTTTCAATAATTGTCGAGGAGTCGTAATTATCAATTTCATGAGAATCTACGCACTCGTCTGACGACAGCTCGGTTATTTGTAATTCATCGGAATCTGCTTTACTTATTCTACCGTTAGAAAATTCAGAATTGTCGGGATTAATTGTGTTAATAGGTTCATCCAGAGAATCTTCTGTAATAATTATGTCTTCGTTTGTCGGTGTGGTTTCTTCACTTTCTTTAGTGACGTCACTCAGCGACTCGGAATTTTTTCTGCTGTTTGCTGAAAGGATAGCCATTCTTCCTAGAGCGCGAATTGCGTTACCTGTTTTCTATTTGGATGTCAAAGAAAAAAAGGCAATGCAAATTAAAAACACAAGAAAACCATGCGCTTATTGATAAGTATTTTATACATTAATTTGTAAGCAAAAATTACAATCAATTATAAGTTGTTGTCAAATGTAATTGTTTAGTTTTATGAATTGAAATATATTAATAATCTTTTCAAGGTTTCTTATTATTTTCACCTTGTATCTTGTAAACTATTGACATTTTTAAAGATATAAGCTCACCCCAACATTACACTCATTGAGACCTTTCATTTGAGTACCCACATCAATTTATCATATATTTTATATATTTATATATATTATATATATATGTATATATGAAAAATATATGAAAAGTGCATGTGGGTACTCAAATGAAAGCTCTTGATAAGTATAACTTCGGGACGAGCTTATATCTTTAAAAATGTCAATAGTTAAGAAATGACGTATCTTATGAACTATTGAAATTTTTAGAGATATAAGCTCACCCCGACATTACACTAATTAAGACCTTTCATTTGAGTACCCACATCAATTTTTCATATATTTTATATATTTATGTTTATTATTATATATATGTATATATGAAAAATATATCAAAAATGCATGTGGGTACTCAAATGAAAGCTCTTGATGAGTGTAACATCGGGATGAGCTTATTTTTACCTTTAATACTAATTAAAAATTTTTTATTAAAAAAAAAACTAAACAATTACCTTTTAAAAATTTCAAACAAAATCACTCGGAAGTTTAATATCAAAACTTTAAAAAATAAATAAATTTTCAAATCAAAAACAAATAAATTACGAAATTATTTACCTGCCACTTTCGTCTGACAATAAACTTCTTGAGTTTATCTGTTGGTAGAGCGACTCTACTCATGCTTTCAGCGCGTTGTGCAAGCCATGGATGCTTCAGGCACTCTTTAGCAGACATTCTCGACCTTAAAAAAAATAATAATACAATGAGTAAAAAATAAAAATGAATAAATAAATACATATTTAAAATACTTACTCTTTTCGTTTGATAAGAAGGCCACTGATAAAATCCTTAGCTTCTTCAGATATCGCGCTGAACGCTTTGTCGTCAAAGTCAAAGTCTGCTCGAGTGATATTAGCAAAAGTCTCTGCGTCATTTTCACCCATAAAAGGTGAAAGTCCAGTTAATCTGCGTATCAATAGTTAATTTATTGTTATTTATTTTAAAAATAAATATTCTTTTTGGATATATTAATATTAATAAAGATTAAAATGCAGTAGTAGAACAAAAGTTATTGACTTACAAAACATAACAAATAACTCCGACACTCCACATGTCAGACTCGGTACCAATTGGTTCAAAGCCAATTATTTCCGGCGGAATGAATTCTGGAGTCCCAAATAATACACGTACTGGTGTGTCGAGTTTCAATGTCTGCGCCAGCCCAAAGTCTATCAATTTTATTCGATGAGACGTTCGCGTATGACACATTATGTTTTCCGGCTAAAAACATTAAAAAATAATTTATTATTACTACTTAGAAGTTATTGTTTGAATGACATATGATAAAATCGGTTTTTTTTAGAGAAATTTAGTGTCATTGCAAAGGTTTTGACTTAATTAATAAATGACCTTGTATCTTGTAAACTATTGACATTTTTAAATATATAAGCTCACCCTGACATTACACTCATCGAAACCTTTCATTTGAGTACCCACATCAATTTTTCATATATTTTATATATTTATATATATTATATATATGTATATATGAAAAATATATCAAAATTGAATGTGGGTACTCAAATGAAAGCTCTTGATGAATGTAACATCGGGATGAGCTTATATCTTTAAAAAGGTCAATTGTTAAAAAAGTACAGTGTAATTTAACAAAAGTCATTATTCAATAAAGCCTATTAATAATGACTTCAATATACTATTAAAGTCTTTACTCAATAATACACATATAAATATATAACTATATTAGTTGAAAGGAATGTCAAGTTTCACTTGATGTCTTCACAGATCAATGGAAATAGTACTATACTATTATAATCCTCCTTTTACAATTGATAAATATAAAGTTAAGTAAAGTAAGTATATGGTTATATCGGTCTAGTAATTCACTTATTACCCTTATTGATTTAGAAATTTTTAGAAATTATACTCGATTTAACTATTTATTTTCAGTAATCTAATCAATTACAGACCACCATGCAAGTTATTTTAATAGACTCACTTTATCGGTTTTTAACTAATAAAAAAATGACTCAATTAAATGACTTACTTTTTTTTTTAATTTTAATTTCTCTTCTTAGACTTTTAATATTGAAATGTAAACTCGATAACATGCTAGTATTTGATGATTCATAAAATATATTTAATTGACCAGTCATTCAACTTAATTTGTAATAAAAAAATTTAACTGATTATGATAAGTGGCCATGATTAAACTATTATATAAAAATCTCAATTTGTAGATTTTTTTTTTTATTTTTCAAACTATTATTTCAGATTAATCTAAAATCTTTTTTATATTTTTTGAATTTATTAAAAATAAATTTTAACTAATAAAAAAATTTTTTTTTTTTTATTTTTCAAACTATTATTTCAGATTAATCTAAAATCTTTTTTATATTTTTTGAATTTATTAAAAATAAATTTTAACTAATAAAAAAAATTTTTTTTTCAAATTTTCCTATACTTAAAAAAAAATATTATGGTACTCTAAAAATTGATGGGTAAAAAATAAAGTAATCAGAAATTATTCCAATTTTCAAACCGTGGAAAAAAAATATAAAATTTTAATTAATAATTGTAAATCCGCCAAAAAAATATAGCAAAAAAATTTTTTTTTAAATAATTAAAAAAAATGAAATAATTAACTTACTTTCAAATCTAAATGAACAACCAGATTGTCGTGCATATAATCAACTCCCATACAAATTTGTCTCACAAAAAGTATACTGTCTTTTTCTGTAAGAGTAAAATCATCAGCAACAACACGTTCAAACAATTCACCACCAGAAATATACTCTGTCACCATAATCATTTCTCTGGGGCTCTCAAATGCAGCAATTAATCTCAGCAATTTAGGATGCCTCAGCATATTCATAATATTTATCTCATCGTTAACCTGCTGGCGGTCTATGGCTTTGATCGTCCGAATGAATTTAGCGGCAAAGCTTGACCCATTAGATTTGTCAACAATCCTCCTAACGATTCCGTACTTGCCCTTGCCGAGTTCTTCGAGCACATTGTAGCGTTCGTCGAATAAAAATCCAGATTCAGGCGCAACAACACACGGTTCGTAGGCCGGCTCTATTTCGTCTTCGGTGTCTTCATCAGGATCCAAGCTAAATCCTGATATACTGCTCGTTACTTTCCTCGTTTCACTTTTCGTGATTATCACTGTCTCGGATTCCATTCCTGGTTCACTTAAGCCATGAATGTTTTCAGCTCTTACGCGAAATTGGTAGGACTCTTCGGGATCGAGTCCACTGATGGTATGACTGAGCGAGTGCTTAGCTTCTGCTACAGCGACCCAACACGGCTCCTCGCCTCGTCTCATCTCGACTGAATAACCCGTGACAGCACAACCGCCGTCGTAAACTGGGGATCTCCAACTCAACGTCACGCCTCTCGAGTCCTTAATAATCTGGATTGCTGGACTACCTGCCGGAGGTTCTGGAGGACCTGTTTCGACAACAAAGAAATATGCTTTAAATATTTCAACATAACATCTAATCAGAGAATTTACAGTTATTATTTTATCTTTTTTGATTTATTTTTCTTATATCTTTACTCTCATAAAAAAATATAGGACAAACATATAAAAAAATATATATATTTTAATTTAATTAATTTACTAGCATATAATAAATAAAATTTTGCTCTATTAAATAATGACTTTTGTTAAAATGCACTGTACTTTCTTAAATATTGACATTTTTAAAAATATAAGCTCATTCCGATGTTACACTCGTCAAGAGCTTTCATTTGAATACCCACATGCATTTTTGATATATTTTTCATATATACATATATATATAATATATATATATATAAATATATGAAAAATTGATGTGGGTACTCATATGAAAGGTCTTGATGAGTGTAACATCGGGATGAGCTTATATCTTTAAAAATGTCAATATTCAAGAAATTACCTTGTATCTTGTGAAGTATTGACATTTTTAAAGATACAAGCTCATCCTGATGTTACGCTTGTCAAGAGCTTTCATTTGAGTACCCACATGCATTTTTATATATTTTTCATATATACATATATATAAATATACAAAATATATGAAAAAATGATGTGGGTACTCAAATGAAAGGTCTCGATGAGTATAACATCGGGATGAACTTATATCTTTAAAAATGTCAATAATTCACGAGATACAGGGTCATTTCTTAATTAAGTCAAGACCTTTGCAATGACACTAAATTTCACTAAAAAAACTCTTAAATCAATACAATTAAAAAAAAAAACTCATTGATATCGTAAGTAATAAACTAAATTTTTAAATTAAAAATTTCTTATGAAAACTACCTTGAAAAAAATTATCCGATGCCTTTTGTATAATTTAAACACTTAAATATTTAAATATCTCAATAAAACCGAAATAAAATTAAGCAATTGGAGCGACGAATTGAGTTAATGAGCACGCGTAACCGACAATAACAAACTGAAAGAGTATTGAAAAATTAACAAAATAAAAATCGTAACCCGCAGCTGTTTTTTAAAGGAGACTCGCGAGTAGACTGCGAATAAGCCTTAGAAAAGTAAACTAGGGAGCCTTGAGGCCACGGGGAGTTGAGCACGCATATGCGTATAAATCGTACCGGCACGTTTTTATTAAAAACCAGGATGAGAGGGAGAGATGTGCTCCGAGCCGGATAAGACACAAGACTGGATAAAAAGAGAGAAGGTTTTTGTCATCGGAGCCACATGGTCGCCGGCTAGACGCAAACTTGCGTATTAGGAACTGGATTTAGATGCGTACAACTAAATCTAGCTTTTACACACAATAAGTACAGTACAATTAAACTCGTCTTGATTACAAATTATCTTCACGGACTTTGGAATCATCTAGCGCATTAATATACTGTGAAAATTAAGTTAGCCGACGTTTTTAATTTTTTTTTCATTAATTAAATTAAAAAAAAAAAATTTTTTTGAAATTGCACTTATAGTTTTTCAAGTTTTTAATGAATAAAAATTTTTTTTTATTTTTTTGTAACAATTTTTTCAATAAAAATTTTTTTTTATTTTTTTGTAACAATCTTTTCAATAAAAAAAATTTTCAGACGTTCTTAATTTTTTTTTTTCATTAATTAAATTTAAAAAAAAAATTTTATTTAACTGCTTTTACAGTTTTTTACAAATGAAATTTTTTTATAATAATTTTTTCAATGAAAAAAAAAAATTCTAAAAAATTTTAGATGTCAGCTAACTTAATTTTAATGAATATATTTTATTTTGAGTGTAAATATTTTAGAGAAAGTACAAACACCGCAGGCTTTTGACGTATGATATGTACTTTGATTATGAAATGGTTCTTTATTTGACGTATGGAATGAAAACGATGGCTTCGAGGAAGATATTTCTTCACATGTCTTGTACGTATAAATTTACCTATATGTAAATCTATACAGATAAATGAATTTAATACCTTCGACAGTGACGTTGACGTGTCGCGAATCTTTTCCCAGTTTATTTTCAATAAACACCTCGTATTTTCCTGCCTCCTCGGTCGTCACATTTAGCAAGGTCAGACAGGTGAGACCTGCGCTGGTTTCAATTTCGGTTTTATCATCCAATGTCACATCACGACCCTGAAATTTAAATTCATTTTAATTAAATATCTAGCGTTTTTGTTAATTATTGTTATTTATTGCTGTGCGATATTTTTTTATCCGGGCATTTTGACACAATTTTAAATAAATGTTTTTTTTAATCATTATAAAGTAAATAAGAGTTTATTATCGGCGTAATAAGATAAAATTGACAATTCAAAAACAATAATTTACTTTTTTTTACTTTAATATTTAAAAAATTTTAGACTAATTATTTTGTAATTTTTTCATTTAGATTTTGTCAAAATTTTGGCTTTAAGTGAAAAATATGTCCGCCATTTTGAATTATAATTCTCACCTCGAAATTTATTTTCAAAATTTTATTTTATTTATAATTAATTACAGCTTTAAATAATTATTTTTAAAATCTATAAAATGGCAAAATTGTAACTACATTTTTATTTTTTTTAATTAATTTATTAAATATTTTACTTTGTTTCAAAACAATATTGAAATTCTAACGAGGTTAAGTTTTAGAATCATCAAATTATAAAAAAGCGCGCTTTTTATGGCGCCAAAAATTTAAATTAATTTTTTTGTAATTTAAAATTAATTATAAATAAATATCAAGATAAATTAAGTAATTAAAAAATTCTCTAATGTCAAAATAATAATAATAAATAGTAATTTTTATAACATTAGTCAGCGAGTCATTAAATTTTATAACATAGATATATAATTTTTTTTTAATAAATGTAATTGAATAAGTTTACGAGAATTTAATTGATTAAAATGTCAGTGGCTCGATTAATCATCACATCAAAAAACTATTAATAAAAAAACACATTGAGCAATCATTACAAATTGAATTTTTTTGTACATAAATATTTTTTCGATTAGATATTTAAATGTATGAATTAAAAATTCATTTGCTGGTAATAAATCAATATTATTATTATTAAATAATTGTTTGAAAATTGATAAAGAGAAGAAATGAAAAAATTGGTAAAGTTTTAATTTTCCTGAGATAAATAAAACAATAAAAGAATGTCGGACGTTTATTATTTTTTATTTGTTGTTTATTATTTTATTGTTTGTTCACGTCACTTGATTGCACACGTGTCTTAATAAAAAGTTAAATTACACGTTCGTGAAGTTATTTATCACGCGGGGTAGTTTCATGATTAAAAATTAATTATTTATTTTATTGAGTGCTCACTTACAAGGAATTTATTTGTATTACGTAAATAAAAACTGATTTATTAAACTTTGATATAAAATTTCAATTTAATTCACTGTTGAAATATTGTTTCTGCTATGACTTTATTTTAAATTGAATTGTTTGTAATTATTTAAAAAATTTACACACGTGCTTTTTTTAATTAATAGATCTTGATTGATAGATCTGGTGAGTAAAACTGGTAAAACACAAATGATTTCTTGTTATGCTTGATGCATAATAATATTAACAGTGTGGTCGATTCATCCGGCTCGCTTGTATTGCGGTGATCGAGCAATGAAGGAATGAAGAGATAAGACACTCAACTACTGAACTCGTGTGTAAGAAACAGAACTGTTTGTTATCGTTATCAAAATGCCATTAGTCTGTAAATATTATTTTTTTCACATATGGTTAAATATTATTTTTAGACAAAGTTTTAAGTTCTTTACTCGACCGACTGTGAAGCATACAAATACAATTTATACAATTCTTATCTTTTTCAATAAATCAATTTATCTATACAATTAAGTAAATAATACTACTGGGTCAATTTTTGGTATTGTTAACTATATCAATTTTTTATTCTATGACGAGAAAATATTGAAAAAAAATTTATTGACAAAAATGGTAAATTTTACCAAAAAAAAAAATATAATTATGAAAAACTTATTAATTATGTTTCTTTCATTTCATTTAAGTAAGTTAATTTGTGGTAATTAGATAAAACTAGCAATTTTGCAGTCACTGTGTGATTGCCGTGACTTATGAACTATGAATTTTTTTATTACAACTCCCCAGTTAATCAATCATTCTTTTTTAAATAATAATAATGAAAAAAAAAATTCAAAGTATTTAAATAAAATAGAAACGAGTAATTTACGCGATGATACTGATAACAGTTATTACAAATATCTACAGTATATTTTTCATATATACATACATATATAATATATGAAAAATTGATGTGGGTACTCAAATGAAAGGTCTTGATGAGTGTAACATCTGAGTGAGCTTATTTCTTGAAAAATGTCATTAGTTGACAAGATAGCAATGTTAGTTCTTAATTATTGACATTTTTCAAGATATAAGCTCATCCCGACGATACACTCATCAAGAGCTTTCATTTGAGTACCCACTTGCATTTTTAATATATTTTTCATATATACATATACATAATATATATAAATATATAAAATATATGAAAAATTGATGTGGGTACTCAAATGAAAGGTCTTGATGAGTGTAATATCGGGATGAGCTTATTTCTTTAAAAATGTCAATAGTTCACAAGATACAGGGTTATTTCTTAATAGATGATTATCAATCTTAAATTTTATTTAATATATTAATTAAGTCCATATTACTATAATCTACTCCAAATTTTTAATTTTGCCAATATTTATAGTAAAAATTACCATTTTTTTTTTAATTATTCTTTATAAAACTTTCTTAAATAAAAATTAACATCAAGACCTTGGATAATTTTTTTTTTTTAATTAAAAATATCTCTTCACTAACTCTTATAAAATTATTGACAAAATTACAGATTAAAATGACTTACCTTTCTCAGCCATCTAACAGTTGGTCTAGGATAACCATCATAAGTAGCCAAAAGCATAACTTTAGCACCTCTCAACGCAATAATATCCGCTGGAACAGTCAAGATCACCGGCGACTTAAGTTCTTCTTTAACTTTCTTCTTTAAATTTTTGTCCTTAGAATTGAAATTTTTTTCTTTGTCCTTAGAATCAATTTTATCTTGTTTATTGCTATTCAACTTTACAGAAGACTTTCGTCTCACTGGTATGGAAGTTTTTCTAGCTGACGACTGAGTTGGAGAAGTGACATGTTGGGATGGTCGAGTTTTTCTATTCTTCATCGGAGATTCAGAAACTTGTTTAACATTTGATTTTTCACGTTCCATTTTGCAATGCCTTGGTACTGAAGAACTACGAGGCTTGTTAAGTTCCGTAGAACTTGTCTTGGCGTTTATTTTTTCGTCATTGACAGCATTACCATTCCTATAAATCATCAACATGATTATACTTTTATTAATAAGGAAATAATATTGATAACAAGTAATTTGAATAAAAAGCAATTCAATAATATTATTTCATATATTATATATTTATAAGTCATTGATTAACTGGTTCACCTATAATGCCATCGAGGAAGCGTAGGACTCGTTCCTCTTCCTCCTGAATAGTTGTCGCTAATTCGTGGAGGCTGTAATCGACTATCGGATCTCGGTGTAGGACTTGGATTTCTTCCGCCGTAAATAGAATAAGTCCTTGGTGATGCACTCCTGGTACGGATTGGTCTTGAAATGGAACTACGGCGACCTATTTTTTTATTAAGGCAATTTTAATATTTATTTATACAGAAAAAATGCTCTATTTCTAGATACATAATTAAGAAATGACCTTGTATCTTGTGAACTATTGACATTTTTAAAGAGATAAGCTCATTCTGATGTTATACTCATCAAGACCTTTCATTTGAATACCCACATCAATTTTTCATATATTTTATATATTTATATATATTATATATATATATATATGTATATATGAAAAATATATCAAAAATGCATGTGTGTATTCAAATGAAAGCTCTTGATGAGTATAACATCGGGATGAGCTTATCTCTTTAAAAATGTCAATAATTAAGAAATGACCTTTTATCTTGTGAAATATTGACATTTTTTAAGATATAAGCTCATCCCGATGTTACACTCGTCGAGACCTTTCATTTGAGTACCCACATCAATTTTTCATATATTTTATATATTTATGTATATTATATATATATATGAAAAATATATGAAAAGTGCATGTGGGTACTCAAATGAAACTCTTGATGAGTATAACATCGGGATGAACTTATATCTTCAAAAAAGTCAATATTTAAGAAAAGTTATTGTTTAATAAAACAAAATTTTTAGTCACAAAATCACTAAAAATTACCTTTAATTATTTCCAACCGCGCAGTAGCTTCAGTTCTTCCAACGTCATTTTCCAAAGTAACTCGATAGAGTCCCGCATCTTCGTGAGTAATTTCGGTTATTTCCAAAATTCTTACGTCATCACTTTCCTTTAAAGAGATTCTCGCAGTTGGCGTAATGGAAATTCCGTCTTTGTCCCAAGTAACCCAAGGCACAGGATGTCCGGCAATAGCACACTGGAACCTCACAGTTTCACCTTCTTCGGCAACTTTGTTGTGAGGTACGGCGTAGAATTTAGGACTGGTAGGCATTCGTGGTCGTCTTCCACCCGTATATCCACGAGCTGTCTTTGTAACTGGTTTTACTTCACGCTCTGACAATAAATTACAAATAACATATGTGTAATACAACTCGAAAGATTTAGAAGAAAATGTATGAAAATTTTTTAGGCCATTAAATTTAATAGCCTAAATTTAAATTTAGTAATAAAATATAAGATTGTTATTTAAATAAACTTGTTTATATTTTTACTTACTGCAACACGAAGGTGAGAGACTTCTCACTGGAGTTGATCGTGGTGTTGATATAGGCGTCGAGTTTGCTGACAGAAAACCTGGAGGTTTTATTAGTCTTCTGCTCAACGCAGTTTCCTTACCTTCAGGTACTGGATTTAAAATTTTTTGATTAGGCTTTTAATATAATAATTTTTTTTAATTAAATTAATTTTATGAATTTTACACTTTTGCATTCAGAAATACTTTATCTCTTGATACATAATTAAGAAATGACCTTGTATCTTGTGAACTATTGACATTTTTAAAGATATAAGCTCATCCCGATGTTACACTCATTAAGACCTTTTATTTGAATACCCACATGTATTTTTGATATATTTTTCATATATACATATATATAATATACATAAATATATAAATATATGAAAAAATTGATGTGGGTACTCAAATGAAAGGTCTCAATGAATGTAACATCAGGATGAGCTTATATCTCTAAAAATGTCAATAGTTCACAAAATACAACGTCATTATAAATAAAATAACTTTTTACCGTCTACTATTACACAAGCGGAGGTGTAAGCTTTTCCCAACTCATTGTAAGCAACACAGGTGTACTCTCCCTCATCTTCAGGGTAAACATGCTGAATACTGAGCCTGGCAGTCTCTCCATCAAAGTCGGCTGCAAAATCACCCCCAAGAGGCAAGAGTTTTCCTCCTTTTTCCCACCTGATGTCTGGTTCCGGTTTCGCGTGGAGCTTGCACACCAAGGTGATGGCGTCGCCGTCACAACATCTCAAGTCTCGAAGCGGCCGCTTAATCACCGGCAAGGTCTGGACATTACTACAGACAGACAAATATACGTTTGCTCATCATCTTTAATCATTAGTCATCAATGTCAACATAAGTTGTGCAACTAATGAGTATCTCTACCCGTGTTTTATCGTTGATTCCATACCGCTGTGCTCTTTTCCTTGGCCTAAACTCCCAAAAAATTTTTAATTAATAAAAAACATCATCATCATCAATATATAATTTAATTAATTGATTGTTATGATAATTATTACCTCGAGCGTAAATTTGTAGTGAAATTACGGCTTTAGCTTCTCCATGACAATTTTTAGCAATTATTGAATAAGTACCGGTGAAGTCTAACTTTGCGTAGGGAATTTCAAGACGATACTGCGGTCCAGCTCCAACTCTTCGGAAATGCGGAGCGTCTTTGTAGTAATCCGGCTAGAAGTAATAAAAAAAAAAATAATAATAATAATAATAATTAGCAACCTTGCATGTGGGTAAATAATAAATATTATTTAAAGTATCTTTTTAAAGACAAACAAGGATACTTGAGGCGTTGATTTATCGATTTAAAATATTATTTATATCCTATGGACTTATTAGTCCCGGTATTGATAAATTTTTGCATAAATTAATTACTTAAAACAAATATGCATGATCACGATCCGCTAAAGACATATTAAGAAGATAATATGTATATAAAGTCGCCGCTTGCAATTTATTAATTGAAACGATTAGCTGTTGAGTTGTTGAGAAGAAAAGACAATGATCTTGTTTACTCAGCATTAAACATTAATATTAAATCTCTCACACTTACATATAATCTAACTCCTTATATATAAATATCCAAACTAGAGATTTAACCACAAGGTATAAAACTTTCGCTCCCTATATGGTTGACAGTTTTCTGAGTGAATAAAATCCATCTCTTTTTATTTTATCTTTGCTTTTATTTATCTCTATCAATCTCCCTGTCAGGTATTAAATTTAAAAAAAATTATTTTAGTCGCTTATTTTGACCACACGATTGATAATCGCAACCATCAAAGACTGTTTTATGTTTACGAGATCAAATACTGAGATTAAAAAATAAAGAAGAAATATATTTTCCAAGATATAATCTTCTAAGTGCGTTTAATAATAAATTATAAGATATTTTATAGTGTAAACAAATATATTACATTGATTGAGTAATAAATTTAATTTACTTATCCATATTGTTAAAAGAATATGCGAAATTTTGTGACCAGTGTATCTCTAGATACATAATTAAGAAATGACCTTGTATCTGGTGAACTATTGACATTTTTAAAGATAAAAGCTCATCCTAATGTTACACTCATCAAGACCTTTCATTTGAGTACCCACATCAATTTTTCATATATTTTATATATTTATGTATATTATATATATGTATATATCAAAAATATATCAAAAATTCATGTGAGTATTCAAATGAAAGCTCCTGATGAATGTAACATCAGGATGAGCTTTTATCTTTGAAAATGTCAATAATTAAAAAATGACCTTGTATCTTGTCAACTAATGACATTTTTAAAGATATAAGTTCATCCTGATGTTACACTCATCAAGACCTTTCATTTGAATACTCACATCAATTTTTCATATATTTATGTATATTATATATATGTATAAATGAAAAATATATAAAAATGCATGGGGGTACTCAAATAAAAGCTATTGATGAGTGTAACATCGGGATGAGCTTATATCTTTAAAAATGTCAATAATTAAAAAATGACTTTGTATCTTGTGCACGATTGACATTTTTAAAGATATAAGCTCATCTCGATGTTACACTCATCGAGACCTTTCTTTTGAGTACCCACATCAATTTTTCATATATTTTATATATTTATGTATATTATATATATGTATGTATGAAAAATATATGAAAAGTGCATGTGGGTACTCAAATGAAAGCTCTTGAAGAGTGTAACACCAGGATGAGCTGATATCTTTTAAAACGTCAATAGTTAAGAAATTACACTGCAATTTAATAAAAGTCATTATTTAATTAAAAATAATTTTTTCAATTAGTAATTCTCTCCAGTAAACCCTCTTAAGCATATCTTGATCATTTTGACAATTTATTAGCCTCAAGGTGTGACAAGCTATCACATTGAATTTATTTACTAAAGATTCAATCATACGAGCAATCAATGCACTGCTTGCAACGATCAACGATCATGTCTGTCGGCTTTTTTTCTACGGTAACTTTATCAAGTCGCGCACGCGACTTGCCTGTTAAATTATTATAAAATAAAAATAAAAAGAAAAATAAATAAAGAAATAAGATTCTCCTAATATGTCTTCTTTACTCAGTTGTACACTGTACTTATTATTATTATAATACTTCAATTCAAAATCTAAGCTCATATTTATCTCAGCTATTTTTTAAATAAAAAACCAAGTGACACAACATAAACAATAACAAACAATCAATCACTCACTATTTAAATTTGACTTGAATAGATCATCCTTATTATTAAAAAATCCATTGTATCAATTATAAAACTTATTATTGTCAAGTGTACTGTAAAAAATTACTGAGCGATAATTAATAGTTTAGCTAGCAACTAAAGTATAATTCAAAAAAAGACTTACAATAACAAAAAACGATAGAAACTTTAAACTATAAATTATAAACTACAAACTTGACTGGACGATGTATGTAATGCTTTGATACTAAGCGACCTGATACTGAACGTGTTAATGGTAAAGAAGGCGCCAGGTGCGGGAGAACAACTAAACCAAGAGTCATGAGGTCGCAAGTCCCCACTTGTACTTACACTTAGTCCAGTGATTGGTCACTCATAAGCATTACTGCTATACTATTGACTATTGATCTAGTTAAGCTTAAATGAAGCTAATTCTCCCATCACTTTCTCAATAGAAGTTACTCAATACAATAAAAGCAAGTAAAGAGGGATTATTACTCTGGACAAAGTGTTAAAAATCACTTCAACTCAATGTCAGACAATAGATCAATACAATCTTTATATCTTGGATTGATTAACGTACTATCCGTGCTATTACATTAACATCAACAAGCTCGTTTATTATTACAAATAGACATGAAGAAATTGCACTTATAATCCGTGTATGGACATAATGTTAGCAATGTTTGATTCGATACCTTGACCTACATGGCCAAGAGGACACGTCATTTTATTGGCGTCTATCATCTGAGATATACCAACCAACCAACCGGCCTAAGGCGTGTTTAGAAATTTAAATCTGCTAAATTACTTAACATGATTTAAGATTAAGATCTTTGCAATATATATCTATGTCTTCATTTTTTTTATTTTTTTTTTGCTGTGTGCTAGTTAAAAAAAAAAAAAAAAAAAAGTTAGCTAAAGAAGATGTTGGAAATGTAGGAAATGAAGAAACACTTGAGGTTGTGCATCACTTCTCCGTTATTCACTGATTCCTGATATGACGCTTAACTTAATAGTTGTATGTTGTTAGTTTATTGAGTTGACAAACACATCCATTATTGGTAGTGGAAATATTATACTTATCTTACCCGTAGAAAATCGCGGAGCCAGATGACTTCCGGTTTTGGATCTCCGACGACTTCGCATGATATTATCACTGTGTCACCTTCAAACGCTTCTGTTGACAGCGGCTTCGTTACGAATACTGGCTCTTTTGAGTAACTGGAATTTTTTATTAATTAGTTAGTTATAATTAAGTTATTAAATGAGTTTTTATTTTTCAATTTTTTTAATAGAAAAAATAAATTATTGAGAAGAGAAATATTTAAGATTGCTCTTGAATAATTAATAAATTTTAAACAGCTTACGGTATGTCCAATGACTCATCAGCGGCTGATTGATTAATATCACTGCTTTTAATATCATCATTATCAAGTACTGTCACGCGAGTTGTTGTCTCGGCTTGACCAACTTCATTGGTAGCAGTGCAACAATACAATCCGGCGTCCCTAGGTGTCACGTGAGCCAAGTCAAGTTCAACGGATCCATCGTGGTTCAAAGTCATTACCACGTCGCGGCTCGGACGCAGGCGATGACCGTCTCGGTGCCTATTATTAATAATAAATTATATTGAAATTAATTTCTATTAATAATTCATATATATTGTTAAGAGGATAAGAATTTTTTTTCCAAGATATTTATATGATAAAAATAGTTAATTTATTATGATAAGTATTTTGGCTGCATTAGAAAATGCTCTACTTCTAGATACATAATTAAGAAATGACCTTGTATCTTGTGAACTATTGATATTTTTGAAGATATAAGCTCATTCTGATGTTACACTCATCAAGACCTTTCATTTGAGTACCCACATGCACTTTTGATATATTTTTCATATATACATATATATAATGTACATAAATATATAAAATATATGAAAAATTGATGAGGGTATTCAAATGAAAGGTCTCGGTGAGTGTAACATCCGGATGAGCTTATATCTTTACAAATGTCAATAATTAAGAAATAACCTTGTATCTTGTAAACTATTGACATTTTTAAAGATATAAGCTCACCCCGACATTGCACTCATCGAGACCTTTCATTTGAGTACCCATATCATTGTTTCATATATTTTGTATATTTATATATATTATATATATGTGTATATATGAAAAATATATAAAAAATGCATGTAGGTACTCAAATGGAAACTCTTGATGAGTGTAACATCGGGATGAGCTTATATCTTTAAAAACGTCAATAATTACCACATAAATAATAATTATTCATTACCAAGTAACTCCAACAGTGGGATAAGCTTCTATTTGCGCGGTCATACGGAGCTCGCCGCCAGCTTTGACAGTGTAAATAGAGTCGAGATGACGTAGGAATTCAGGAGCAATGTAGGCACGAATTCCCTTGTCAACAGTTAAATGACAACGACAAGATACAGATCCATAAATATTTTTAGCGCGTGCCATGTAAATACCAGAGTCATCAATCGTTGATCGATTTATTTCCAGTGTGTGAAAGTGAGCCTCGTCATTCCAAATTGATATATTCTCTTGGGAGTAAAGTTCCTCGCGATACTTGTACCAGGTTACTTCTGGCTCGGGATATCCTGTCACTTGACATGTCAATCTCACTGGATAGGTTGCTTGGACTCGCCTGTCCCGCAGTCTCATTGTGAATTCAGGTGGTCGCTCTTCATTTGCTACGTCTGATGATCTATAATACAAAAAATTATTAATTAAAAAATTATACTGAAATTTAGACATCTGATAATTATAATAACTAAATTAATTTGAAAAAAAAATTATTTCATATAAAGAAAAATTAATTTAGCACTCAGGAATTTATTAAAGTTTATTTATTTATTTTTTTTTATTAATTATTAATCATAATTTCTAATAATTACTCAGAATAAAATATTACCTCATTTTACGAAGTTTCAAATCAGCCTCAACAATTTTAGGATCCTCAACAACTTGTACCCTTGCAAACGTAGACACTCTTCCTGCTGCATTAGTAGCCTCACATACATATCGCCCTGAATCATTTTCTGATATATTACCAATCATCAGTGTACACTTGGTACCGTTGAAATAAGTTGTAAACCTTGAGTCTTGACCATTTTCTATCTCTGTTGTGTCACGATACCATTTAACGTGCGCTAATGAGTCACTGCTTACCTAAAAATTTTATTCTTAAATTTTATCTTTTGACTTTAATAATTTTTTTTTCTTCAAGTCGAAATTATATACCTAAAAAAAATTAAATTTCTTCTTTTCTCAAGAATTTTGATATTTATAATATTTCTTAAGTGATTGAAGAAAAAAATTTTTTAATTTTAAAGTACTAAAATATTTATTAGATTATTATTGAATTGTATTTATGAAAAATCAAAAAAAAATAAAATAAAAAATCAGATAAATTACCTCGCAGTCCAAACTTAAAACAGTTCCTTCCAAAGCTTTGAGTTGCCCCGGAAGTATTTTAGTAAACTCCGGAAATTTAACAACTTCTCTTACAGTGACAGAATTAGTCATAGTCACCGGTTCACCCCATCCATAACGATTCCTGGGAGTGATTCGGAATTTATATTCTTCGCCAGGTCGCAAATTGAACGCGTCAAACGCGTTAATTGGAGTTACTCCAAGCTGAAAAACAAAAACTTTTTAATGTCTCATTCATTCAAGGTGAATGTGTCTTTATTCTCGTAATATGCTAGTCAAAATTATTATTATTTTTATCATATGTTTTGTTTTGTGTAAATAAATTAAGATTATATTTAACAGCTTGCTACCTCGACCCATCTAGCGCCTCCTTCGCCTCCCAAAAGCCACCCGTCAACGCGGTAAGCCACCACAGGTGCGGATCCTCTTTGCTCAGCTTTGCCCCAGGTTAATGCTAACCAATTACGGCCACCGTCGATTACCACTGGTTCAGTTGAAATTGGTCCAGGAACTTCTAAAATTTTTGAAAAGTAAATAATTAAAAAATTACTTTTTTTTTTTACTTAAATTAAAATCAATATTTCATTATTTAAATTTTTAATATTATTATTTATTTGAAATATTTAATGTATTGTCAGATTTTGATTAAATTTTTACCTAAATAAAATTAAATACCTTTGAGTATTTTTTTACTTAAATAAAAATCAATTTTTCATTATTTAATTTTTTAATAACATTATTTATTTGAAATATTTAATATATTGTTAAACTTTGAATAAATTTTTACCTTGATGACCTACTAAGAAATCTAAATAATTAGTTATTTGATTATATTTATTTTTTTCAGTCCATAATAAACGAAGGTTTTCTAATGCCAATCCTTCGATATCACTTTCAATATTTTTTTTCACCAAATTATCCATTATTATTATTATTATTTTATGATTTTTTATTTATTATTTTTCATCGCCAACTATCAATTTATTATTTTGTATTTAAGTCAATAATTGTCTATTTAAAAACACTATTTTTAATTAATCATAATATTATTATAATTTTTTTTATGGAAATTTTGAATTATTTATAAGTCTAATACCTGATTTAATAATTGACATTGCTGCACAATTTTTCAAAAAGGTCCTAATATTTTTTAAAAATTGATTTTGAATTTGAAATTTTTTTTATTCAATAATTTTATTACAGTAACTTACATTAAATTTTACCCAACGATAAAATGGCCCATTTTGAAAAATTGTGTAGCGATGTCAATTATTAGATTGGCAATTATTAATAATTTAGGTTTATAATTAATCCAAAAATTAAAAACTGATCATTGTAAAAAATTATTATTAATCAAAATTATTAATAAAAATATTAATAAAAATATTATTAAAAATTATTATTAACAATAATAACTATAAAAACAAATATAAAGAGCAATTAAGTAAACAAACATTGCGATTTGACATAAGTAAAATCACCAACTGGCATACTGAGAACTAAAACAAAATTTTGCTAGGTAAAATGTAAATGAAGAGGCGGGAATTTTTTAGTTAATAAAACCTGAGAGAGTAGGAGGACAAATAAAAATAGCTTGCCGGAAAATTTATTAGGTACCAAGTTGATGGAAGTAACACCAGGTTTTAAATTTGGGTGTTCATGAAGAAGAGTTGGTTGAGTCGGTTCTTCAAACATAACTAGAGTAGGGAGACCAATTTTATCTCACTAACATAACTGTCTCATCATCTCATAACTAACTTCAAATATATTAATAAAGAAGAAACATAGACGACCAATAGAAAATTTTATCCGAGAGCACTGACATTCTTATAATAATACTAAAGTTATCCGACGTTTTTAATTATTTTATTTTTTTTATTTATTAAATTTCAACAAAAAAATATTTTTTAAAAATTGTACTTAAAGTTTTTTAAGTTTTTAACAAATGAAAATTTTTTTTCTTGTAATTTTTTCAATAAAAAAATTTTTTAGATGTCGGCTAACTTAATTTTCATATTCTTAAAATATTTTTAGATATGAGACTCATTTGAACTAGCATGAATTGGAGCATGGTATTGTATACAGTCGGCTCGTTATATTATGTGTTTTTATATTTTTTACTTAAAATATAATAATAATAATAATTAGAGTCTTACGTTTCAAATACGAGCGCTCTTTGTCGTGGATGTTGGCCAACAAGCTGTCAGTGTCGACAGAACCCCAATCTGGAGAAGGCGTCAATGATCTTGCTCTCTGTTTCACCTAAATTAATAACGAGCGTTACATCACAGCTCATAATATTTTTTTTTTTTTATATTTGTTATACAACAGACGTGTTTGTCTTTTATAACATCGTTATTTAGTGTCATTTATTTAGTAGTATTAAGAGATATTAATTACTTGAACTGAGAAGAAACTTCTATCACATCCATAACGATTTTTTACAAGAATACAATAGGTCCCTTCGTCTGACGGGCACGCTCTTTTCAGTGTCAGTCTCACATAATCATCGTGTCCCTCTTTGTAAGATCTTGGTCCGCTGGTTATGTCTCTTAGTCCTTTCATCCAAATAACTACAACGGTCATAAATTATATACTTAGACAACTGTTAATTAAGAAATGACCTTGTATCTTGTGAACTATTGACATTTTTAAAGATATAAGATCACCCTGACATTACACTCATCGAGACCTTTCATTTAAGTACCCACATCAATTTTTCATATATATCATATATTTATATATATTATATATATGTATATATGAAAAATATATCAAATATGCATGTAGGTACTCAAATGAAAGCTCTTGATGAGTGTAACATTGGGATGAGCTTATATCTTTATAAATGTCAATAGTTAAGAAATTAAGCTATTTATAAAAAATCTACCTTTAGGTTTGGGAATCCCATTTGTCCTGAAAGACACACTAACATCTTCTCCGACAGCAACAATAATAACTTTATCAGGCGGCCTAGAAACGAAGATCGCGGGCTTTCCACCGTCTCCCATGGATCCAGACACGACTTCAACAGTCGCAGTAGAATCAACATGCCCATAAGAATTGCTCGCGCGGCAGACATAGGTACCAGTTTCATACTCAGTTGCATCAGGAACAATTAAAGTGTAAACACCAGAGTCAGCGAAAGTTCGAGCTTTGGGAACAGCAATGCTGCCTTTTTTGTCAGCCCTCATCCACGTGACGTCGGGTGGCGGTACTCCTTTGACTTCGACTTGGAGTGCGATTGTCCCACCTACCGGTACACTGTGATCTGTCAAGTAACTAGAGAAACGAGGTCTTCCAGTGTCCTTTTCGGTACTTGTAATATCGTTGTAACTGCTGCCACGCCAACTTCTGCTGCTTTGTGCCGCCCGACCTAATTGGACCAGAAAAAAAATTAATTAAAGATAATACTTGACAATTATTCTCATTACTATCTCACAACTATTTACTATTATGCTCTATATATAGGGTGAAAATTTTTTTTTTAGGACAACATAAGACAAGCTGTGGTAACAAATTATTACGGTAGCTTAAATACATTGTCATTTTTAAAGATATAAGCTCATCTTGATGTTACACTCATCGAGACCTTTCATTTGAGTACCCACATCAATTTTTCATATATTTTATATATATTGTATATTTTATATATGTATATATGAAAAATATATCAAAAATGCATATGGGTACTCAAATGAAAGCTCTTGATGAGTATAACATCGGGATAAGCTTATATATTTATAAATATCAATAGTTTAGAAAGTACAGAGCAATTTAACAAAAGTCATTTTTTAAAAAAGCAAAATTTCATTTAGTTATAGTTCATAAGTCACAGCAGTCACAAAGTGACTGCATGGTTGCTAGTTTTGTATAATTATATGAAATTGTTTCTGTTACATAAAATTATAATTTTATAGAATTGTATATAATTATAATTTCATATAAAAATATAAAATTATATTATTTCAAGATTCATTGATTATATGGTATACATAATTATATGAAACAATATATAATTATATGATACTATATTCAAATATAATTTTATATAAAAATTTCTATATAATTTTATACAATATAATTTTTTTAAAAAATTGTTTAAAAAATTCCCCAGGTGTCAGGAGAGTCAACAGAAATTTTCCGCGAGTATATTTCATCAACATTCTACCCATGGCTAGTATCAAAAAAAATAAAGCTCCCAGTAGTGCTGTACATCGACGGTAGCGCCAACTTGAGTATGTCAGTAGTGAACTACTGCCGAAAAGTACAAATAGAACTAGTAGGGTATATATATATTATATATATGTATATATCAAAAATATATCAAGTATGCATGTAGGTACTCAAATGAAAGGTCTCGATGAGTATAACATCGGGATGAGCTTATATCTTGAAAAATGTCAACAATTAAAAAATGACATTGTATTTTGTCAACTAATGACATTTTTAAAGATATAAGCTCATTCCGATATTACACTCATCGAGACCTTTCATTTGAGTACCCACATCAATTTTTCATATATTTTTTATATTTATATATTTATTTATATATTATATGTATATATGAAAAATATATCAAAAATGCATGTGGGTACTCAAATAAAAGGTCTCGATGAGTGTAACATCAAGATGAGCTTATATCTGTAAAAATAGCATTAGTTGACAAGTTTGCTGTTAAAGTGTCTTTATTTTTTTCAACCTTAAAATTTATCAAAAAAGAAGTGATCTATTTCTCACCTGTAGCTTCGAAGTCAACTAAATGAGACGTCCGATCACTCAACTTAGTGTCATTTTCCGCGCGACAAGTGTACAGACCACTGTCATAAAAATCAGGATTAAATATCTTCAATCTACAAAGTCCATCGGGCAAATCGCATTGCTGATAGCGGTCGCTTATCTCCAGAACTTGTCCGTCTTTCAGCCAAGTTATTGCAGGCGTCGGTTGACCCCTCACCCGGCACTCGAGGACCAGAGTGTTTTCTTCGCGAAGATAAGTGTCTTTGATGGTCCTGGTGAACGTTGGAGTCGTCGGAGTAGGCTCATACCCGGCGTAAACTTTCAACTTAGCTTCAGTGCAAGCTTGTCCGTGAGGATTTCTCGCAATACAAGAGTACTCTCCAGTGTCAGACGGTCTTACAGTGTAGAGTTCTAAAGAAGCCATCCCGTTCTCGAAGGTAGTTCCATGCCTGTTACTAGATGGCGGCAGCAACTTCCCGTCTTTTAACCAATAAACTGCAGGTTCAGGTTCTCCAAGAACAGCGCAAGTCAATTTTATCCTCGAACTCTCGGCTGCAGTTCTGTCTGTCAGTTTTGTGCAGAAAGAAGGTTTCTTCCCACGATCTCGCGGACCATGAGAGACTCCTGTCGTCCGACTAGTGTCTGTAGAATACACACCCAGACTCTTATCATCAAGGTCGATTGATTCCAAATCACGATACTTCCTTGACAAGTTAGAGCGCCGAGATGGTTCTCTTGGTGATGATTCGTCGTAATCTATTTCTATCATCGGAGGATTACTTCGCTTATATCTTTCTTTAGTAGATACATTCTTCAGAGTTGATACTGAAGACTCAGAAAATTCAGAATCTAATTCTGAATCTATAGTTGCCTTTGGTAATTTTAAATCCAGTTGTTTAGCGGCTACCTGATTGTCTTCGTTGACTCTTTGGTATTTTTCTTTGGTATCTCGTGATTTTTCTTCAGTCTTTTGTACAACAGGTTTGTCCTTTTCTTCTCTAGGCGCGTCGATGATTTTAGATTCTTTGTCTGTTTTTTGGATATCTAGCTGTCTTACTTTTGTTTCTTCTTTTTCTTCAGACTTGATTTTAAGAGACAGTCGCCTTTCTTCGACATCCTTATCATTATCGACAGATTTTTCAGATTTCTTCTTTAAAGATGTTCGTCTTTTTTTATCAGAATCTTTGTCATTGCTTTCATCCTTTTCCTTCAAAGATGTTCGACGCTTTTCTTCAATTTTATCCTTATCTTTAGATTTTTCTTCCTTATCTTTCAAAGATGGTCGTCGTTTTTCTTCTTCATTTTTATCTTTATCATCAGACTTTACAGACTTCTTTTTCAAAGAATCTCGTCGTTTTTCTTCAACATCCTTATTCTTATCTTCAGCCTTTTCCTTCAAAGACGTTCGTCTTTTTTCTTCAACATCTTTACTTTTATCATTAGATTGTTTCTTCTTCTTTAAAGAATCTTGAGTTTTTTCTTCAACCTCTTTTTTCTTTTCAGCTTCCTCATTCTTTTCCGATTTCTTTTTCAAAGAATCTCGTAGTTTTTCTTCAACATCCTTATTCTTATCTTCAACTTTTTCCTTCAAGGATGTTCGTCTTTTTTCTTCAACATCTTTACTTTTATCATCAGATTCTTTAGATTGTTTCTTCTTCATTAAAGAATCTCGAGTTTTTTCTTCAATATCCGTATCTTTATCTTTCAAAGATGTTCGTCGCTTTTCTTCTTCATTTTCATCACCCAATTCTCCAGAATGTTTCTTCTTTAAAGAATCTCGAGTTGTTTCTTCAATCTTTTTCTTCTTTTCAGCTTCTTCATTCTTTTCTTCAGACTTTTCAGACTTTTTCAAAGATTCTCGTCTTTTTTTATCAACATTTTCGCCATTATCTTCAGCCTTTTCTTTCAAAGATGTCCTTCGTTTTTCTTCTTCTTTATTTTCATCACCCAATTCTTCAGAATGTTTCTTCTTCAAAGAATCTCGAGTTCTATCTTCAACCTCTTTCTTCTTATCTTCAGCTTTTTCTTTCAAAGATGTTCGTCTTTTTTCTTCAACATCTTTACTTTTATCATCAGATTTCTTCCTTCCTTTAATAGAATCTCGATTCTTATCTTCAACACCTTTATCCTCAACTTCAGACTTTCTAGATTTACTTTTAACCGAAACTCTCTTATTTTCTTCACCATCTTGGCTACCACTTTTTTCTAATTTATCTTTAGAAGACTCTTCTTCCCGCTTATCTTTTTCCATTTTGTCCTCTCCTTTATCAGATGATTTTCTTTTTACCTTCAAAGCATCCTTAACATCAACCCCTTGATCAATTTCTTCAATAATCTTACTAGATTCATCTTTCTTATCAGGCATTCGCAGTACTTCAACTTCCATTTTATTAACAATTTCTTCCCTAGCCTCAGCAAGTTTCTCCTGCTCAACAACACTAGCCCGCTCCTCAGCCCAAGCTTCCGTAATAATATCCCTGACATTTTCCTCAAGAACATCGCTCTTACGAATATCAGGCTGCTGAGCAATCAAGTCTTTAATTTTAGCCTCAACAGCCTTAACAAGATTTTCATGAGTAAGAGGTTCGATATTTTGCTTATTAAACCCTTCAATAATCATATCCCTGACATTTTCTTCAGGAACCTCAACCTGGGTCAAAGCAGGCACATTCAGCACTTCAATTTTCTTCTTCAGCGCATCAGCTTGTGCTCTTTCAAGCTTCTCAGTTTCAAGAATACTAGCTCTATGCTCTTGTAATTGTTCAGTAACTATTTCACGAACACTTTCTTCTATCATTTCTTCTCTAGATATTTCAGGATGTTGAGCAATCAAGTCATTAACTTTGCTTTCTATCGCCTTAACTAAATTATTTTCTTCTAAAATTTGCACATCTTGTTTCTGAAGCTCTTCAATTATCAAATCATGGACTATTTCTTCCGGAACTTGGATCTGAGTCGTCGCAGGAGTTTGCAAGACTTCTACTTTTGTTTCTACTTGTGCTTTATCCATTGTCTCATTAAATTCAGAAGCTTTTGCCTTCTCTTCTTGCAGCTGTTCAGCTACAATATGCTTCACATTTTCTTCTATAACTTCTTCCTTAGACAATTCTGGAAACTTAGCAATCAAATCTTGAACTTTAAACTCGACAGCTTTTATAAGGTTGTCTTCTTTAGAAGGTTCAATATTTAATTTGTGAATTTCTCCGACGACTATTTCATGGACCATTTCTTCCAAAATGTGAGCGTGAGTTTCCGAAGGAACTCTTAAAATTTGAGCTTTCTCCTTCTTCTGATTAGTTTCTTTAATTTCTTCTTTCTTCTTAACATCCATTTCTTCCAAACCTTTCTTCTGATTAATTGCTTTAGTTTCTTTAATTTCTTCTTTCTTCTTATCCATTTCTTCCAAACCTTTATCTTCTTTTACCTCTCTAACCTTATCTTCACTTTCAACTATTTTCTTTTTAGATATTTCTTCTACGTCAACTTGCTTAACAATTTTGATAGCTTCATTTTTGATTTCTTCTTCAACAACTTTATCATTATCACCCACTTCTTTTATTTCTTCTCGCTTTTTCTTCTCAGATATATCTTTATCAATTTTTCCACCATCTTTATCTTTAATTTCTTCAATTTTTTGTTTATTTTCTTCTTGAATCTTATCTTTAGACACTTCAATTATTTCTTCAGACTCTTCCTTTAGAGATTTTTTGATTTCTTCTTCAACAGCAATATCTTTAACAACTTCTTTGTCTTTTTGTACTTCACACACTTCCGTATCAACAGTAATAACCTTTTGTTCAGATTTTTTGGATTTTAAATCATCAATATCAGCCTTAATTGTTTGTTCATCTATTTCTTCTTCTAAAATTTCTTCAGTTTCTGCAGAAACTTCACTTTTAGGAACCACCGGCATTTCCAAAACTTCAATTTCTCTCTTATCTTCTTCAGCAACCAGCAAATTCTCAATTTCAACAACTTTTGCTTTATCCTCTTCCACAATTTCCTCCACAAAATCATGAACCTTTTCAGAAAGGAAATTCAAACCAGATATTTCAGGATGCTGAAGAATCAATTGCTGTATTTTCGCTTCAATCCTCTCAATAATTCTGTACTCTTCAGTAGGCTCAATATTTTTCCTATGAACTTCATCTATAACCATTTCATGAATCGTTTCTTCAGGAATTTCTTCATGAATTTCCGATGGAACAGTCAGAACATTCAATTTCTGACTCTTAGTTCTTTCAGATAAAGTTTCTCTGACAATTTCTTCAACAGTAACTTCAATTGCGTCTACTGTACACAGTTCCGGAAATTTGCCCATCAAATTTTCTACTTTTTCCTCAACTGTGTTCAAAACATCAGCTTCTTCAGAAGAATTAACATTTTGTTTCTTCAAATGCGAAATAATTATATCATGAACAACATCTTCAGAAATTTTCTTCTTTTCCTTCACTAACTTCGCTTGCTTCTGCATTTCTTCCCGTACAATTTCTCCAACATTTCTTTCAAGAGTATCTTCCCTAACAACTTCTGGACGACTAATGATCAACTTCTGAACCTCTAAAGTGATTTTATTTTTCAGTTCATTATCAACAAGCGACTTAGCATTTTGTTTATCAATTTCATTAATAACTAACTCATGAATTCTATCTTCAAAAATCACATCTTGAGAAGCTATAGCCTTACTTTCTTCTTGTTCAAGCACTTGAGTCTCCATTGAAATATCTTTTGATCCAACAATCTGTTTTTGAGACGCTGCTTCATCTTCTTGTACTCTTTCTTCAAATTTCTCTTTTGAATCCAATATCAAACCATCCTTTATTTCTTCTTTAGAAGCACTTTCTTTCTGAATTAAACCAATTGCATCCTTTATCTCTTCCTTAGAACCACTTTCTTTCTGAATCAACCCAATTGACTCTTTACTTGCTTCAACTTCATTGATACTATCATCATACTTCAATTCAGCAACATGCTTTTCAATTTCTACTAAAATTAACTCTCGAATAATTTCATCCGGAATGTTTTCTTCTAAAGTGTGAGAAGACATAAGAATAACTTCTTGAACCTTAGTTTTAATATCCTTAACTAGCGGATCTTCAACTGGATAAAGCTGCTGCTTTTTCAACTCATTTCTAATCATATTTTCAGATACAACCAATCCTTGCAATACATCTGATTGTTTCTTACCTTTACTTTCATCTTTCTCAACGCTAATTCCTGCTTCGTCCTGAAGCGAAGCTTGATCTTCTTTTCTTCTCTCCTCTTCATGAGAAACACTTAAATTTTCCTGAGCACTTCCAAGGTTTTCAACTTCTTTTATTTTAGCTACATACTTTTCGACTTCAACTAATACCAAATCCCGAATAATTTCTTCTGGAATATTTTCTTCCGTCGTATGAGAAGACAAAAAAATTTCCTCTTGAACTTTAGCTTTTATTTCTTTAACCAAAGGATCTTCAACAGGATAAACATTTTGCTTCTTCAATTCCTCTCTAATCATATTTTCAGAAATTCCTAAACTTTTTATTTCTTCACCCTTAACATCCTTGACATCTTTCTCAATTTTCTCAATTTTAGCCTCATCTAAAGAAATTTCTTCTTTTTTAACTTGCGAGACAACTGAAACTTCCTTCGCCTTGTTAAGAACTTCAGTTTCTTTCAAATCTGCAACATGCTTGTTAACTTCTACAGAAATCAATTCTTGAACCATTTCTTCAGGCACAAAAGAAGAAAGTAAAATATCTTCTTCAATCTTGGCTTTGATCTCTTTAACCAAATGATCTTCAACAGGATAAAGATCTTGTTTCTTCAATTCCTCTCTAATCATATCTTCAGACACTACAATACTTTCCAAAACACCTTGTTTCTCTTCAATATCCTCCTTCTCTTTTTGAATGTCTACTTTAGCTTGTTCTTCTTTACCAATTCTTGTCAGATCTTTAATTTCTTCTTTAACATCATCTTCCTTATTCATCCCAACCTTGATAGCAGTTTCTAGAGATAGCTTAGCTTCACTAAGACCCTCCACATCCTTCAAAACAGCAACATGTTTCTCAACTTCTGCAGAAACAATATCCCCAAGGATTTTTTCTTTAATTCCGTCATCTGAAGAACTGGAAGACAATAAAACAATCTCCTGGACTTTTATTTTAATTTCTTTAACAAGAGGATCTTCAATAGGATAGAATTCCTGTCGTTTAAACTCTTCGACAATCATATCCTTCACTTTTTCTTCAAAATTCTCTCCAACAATCGGCTGAATAATTCCTTCCGCACTACTCGCTTCAGCTTTTACCAAATCTTGCACACCCTCAACTCCCAAAGCTTCTTTTTTTAGTTCTTCAGCAACAATATTTCTAATATTCTCTTCCAGTACTGTTTCTTCCTTAACTTCCGGAAAAATAAGAACCAATTCCCGCACTTTACTTTTGACTACATCCACAAGCTTATTTTCAAATAATTCCACTTGTTGCTTTTGCAATTCTTTTATTACAAGCTCATCAACTTTTTCTTCTGTAATTTCAGCAGCAACAATATCTGCTAATTGTTGACTCATTTCTTCTTTACTTTCTACTAAATCATCCAAAGTTTTTTCTTCATATTTGACTTTACCTTCAAATTTATGCAATTCTTCAGTAACTATTTCCCGAATATTCTCTTCTATACCCGAAATCTGAGCTACTTTTGGTGCCTGAAGAACAATCTGTTCAACTTTTCCTTTAACAACTTCCAAAAGATCCTTTTCATCAACCAAAGTAACATTTTCCTTAGAAATTTCATCATAAATAATTTCCCTTATCTTTTCTTCTCTAAATTCATCAGATTCTAGCACAGCCATCTTCTCAATTTCCTGGAAACTCTTGATCTTTTGAAGTTCCTCTACAACAACATCTCTAACACTTTCTTCAAAAACATTAACTTGACAAATTTGTGGATACTTGACCATCATTTCTTCAACCGCTACTTTAACATTATTCACCAACTCTGCATTTTCAAGTACTAGAGCATTTTGTCGGTCGAGTTCACTTTTAACAATTCCTTCAACTTTATTCAGAAGATCTTTATTACTTATTTCTTTTTTTACAACTTCCAATTCTTCTTTCACAACTTTTATTTCTTCTTTAACAACTTTCATTTCTTCTTTTAAGAGAACTTCAGAAGCTGCTTCACTATTTTCTTGAATTACTACAGAATGAGCTTCAACCATTTCTTCACCTGCTACAACATCATCTTCTTTTACACTCACAGTTTCTTCCTGAACCTTTGGAGCATTTAAACCACTATTGTCTTCTTTCAAGTCTCCTGAATCCATCAATGGCATCTCAGTAGCTTTTTGAAGAGCCACTTCTTCAAGACTATCAACTTCAGTAACTTGAAGATTATATT